CAGCTTATAGCTTCGGCTCGAATACAGACTGCTTGCTACTTGAGCGTAAATTGCATAGCTTCAGCACAAGAGTTGGAGTCAGACTCAGAGTTGGAGTCCGAGTGCGGAACACACAAAGCCGCGCAGTCAGGCGACTTAAGTGTGGGCTGAGGGTAGCAGCAAAAGCCAAGCCAGTCAGGCAAGTAAGCAGCAGCAGCGGAACCTAGTGGCCAGCTACAGCTGCAGCACAGATACAGCTTCAGTATCAGGTCCAGTTTCAGCTATTGAGGCACTATAAAACAGCAATGAATGGTTAATCAAGCACCCGGCTTGAACAGCTTTCGGCTTCATTTTGCTGTTGCACTCATTCGTGTGTAAAGGGGGCAGTTACTCCCTTTTAACTGCTTCAAAATTTGTATATATACGCATATTAACAAAACGCATATTACAAATTAGCCGAGTGCAGAAAGGTGCGGCTTGGTAATGGACAGGCTTAGCTTTAAAGGAGCTTATAATTAGTACACGAGTTCATATTGGGATTATTGAAGCAGGAAATGGAGAGCATATAACTAGCTGTGTGCGTGTTTAATGAATGGTTACACTTGGCCCGATAAGTTCGATAAATTTGCTGTATCACATTGCATTGTGAATAGTGCGAGCCAAATTAGCAATATAATTGTAATTGTAATTAATTGTAATTTGAAGTTTCCTCAAGAGCTTTTATATAACTCTCTTCATATTATATATTAAGCTCTGTTTCCCAATAATTATATATTGTTTGCCTGCCTGGTGTTCACGACCGGAAATTAACTAAATTGTTTGTCCATTACAAAATTTGTTTTACAGATGTGTTTGTTTTCTATGTGAAAAAGTAGAGTTCTTTTTGTATTTATAATTAGCTTGGGATTATTTTAAAAACGTATTGCATAAATTAATGCACAAACAATTATTTAATAATATATTGCTGAAAGCTACTTACTTTCATATATGCATGCAAAAAAAACCTGCATAATGAGAATCCTTACAATTCTTTTTAACAGCCGTCCAGCTGGTGCCCGTAATCTCGACAGTTTAACTATCTGTAAAAAAAAAGATAATATTAAAAGCAAACTAAAAATATATCTCAGTTTTTATTGGCTGCCAAGCTTAAAAACGTGGAATTTCTATTAAATATCTGGCGCTCACACCGTATACGTAATATCAGATTACGGCGCCGGCTTAAAGGCAAACAAACAAAAGTAAAACAAAAACAAAAAAAAAATAAAACAAAATAACAAAACAACAAAGGTAAATAGCAAAAAAAAGAAAGAGTGCAGCACACAAAAACGCGCGCATAAAATAAAATGGAAATTACACGGAGAGAAAGCGAGAAAGAGAGAGAGAGAGGGGCCGACAGAGACGGAGAGAGGAAGGGAGTTGGCATAAGGAGCGGGCTTGGTGAATCGGCGTAGCCGGCTGGGTATGTAGGTGCTTACGCTTTTTTAATTACCTCGTTTAAGCCAACGGGGCCTTGAGCTTCTATGTGCGACCATTGTATGTTTGTATTCGTGAGCTTTACCGTATTTGTATTTACGTGCGCAAGTATGTGTGTGTGTGTGTGTGTGCGCGTTTGTGTTTGTGCGCGCTTTTATCAACTCGTTTCGCCGTGTTTTACTCACTCGCAGACGTTGCCATAAGTTTTAATTAAAATTACTTTGCTCGCTGCTGGCTGACGGCTGCTGTTGGCTGCTCCTCCCGTTGTAGCTCCTCTTGTTGTTGCTGTTGTTGTTGTTGCTGTTCGTATGGATGCTGGTTGAGTGTTTTGCCGTGTGCTTTTTGTTATTTGCTGTTTGGCCGCTCACACTCGCCAGCTGCCCCTGTGCACATATGTATGTGTGATTGTGAGTGTTTTTTGCGGTTTTTGCTGCTGCTGTTGGTGTTGGTGTGCCGGCAGTTTGGTTGCGGACCGCGTCTCTGACATTGCCCCAGCAAATGACAATGGCGGTCGCGGCCGCATTCGCGTCGCAGTCAATGGCCGTTGGCTTTGCACTGTGGCTGCTGTTGTTATTGCTGTTGCATGCTTTTAGGCCGACCGGATATTAAAAGCTCGGAAAGTTGCAAAATATTTACCAGTTATAAAACAAAAACGCACTGAAAATGTCTAAATAGAAAAAATGTTCATAAAACAACAATACTTTTAAAATCATTTAAGTCATAGCTTTAACCTTAAATAAAAAATGTTTGCGGGTCGGTTGACTGTTCAAATCAATGGGACTTGAATCGTCAACCTACTTTTCAGATTTATGAGCTACGGTTGAGGTTTGTACTAAGACTTTCACATTCTTTCCAATTTAAATAGGAAGCATAACTATTTTTATTCCTGACAAATTTTCCCTAATAATATTGAGTAGCAGATATCTTACAATGCTTTAAATTAAATAATGATTTGATATATATAACATGTTTAAAGGAAATTTATTTTAAATACATAAATTGCACATATTGAGGCTGTAACGCTGCAACCCAGTGTTAAACTGGGCGTGACAATTCAATGCCAGTTAGCATCAAAGCGCAGCTTTATGGGCTTTACCCGCTGCTGACGTCGTCATCATTCAAAGAATCAGCGAACTGTAAAGCGGCGCGCCCAAACGAGCGGCTCTAAACGCGCATTTCAACGCATGGCTTGGCTTGGCTCGGCTTGGCGCGACGCGATGCGATGTGGTTCCTCAACGCAGTCGATGCTGGGGAGGACCTTTGGTGCTGGCACAGGCGGTGGTCCTGGAGTATATTTGCCACATGCTGATAAGCAGACATAATAATAAAAAATGTATGAGCTGCCTCGCAAGCGGCAGTCATAATAAAATGTGCAAAATAAAATGAAATGGCGAATAACCACAGAGTAGGGGCAGCAGCACGAACAGGACCAGGATGGCGGCAGCGGATGTGCGCCAAAAGCAGCAGCGGAAACGTTGCACAATTTTGCGGCGACACAGCAACGCGGGAAGGGATAGAGAAAACGAGAAATAGCGATGACAAAGGGTGCTGGATGCGAGGGAACGCGACATAATGAAGTCAAAAGTTGGCCAAAGAGTTCTGAACGTTTTGCTAATGAGAGCTTTGAAAGGCGACAGTGATTATCAGGGCCGGGCTTAAAGTTGAGTCGCCCAAAACAAAATCACAGTTTTAAATCCACTTTCAACGTAATTTCGTACATTTTCGACTACGCATGTGCTTGGCTAAACCCACTCAAAAAACCCTAATAATAATGTTTGGCGTGCCACCAAAACTGAGCGAAAAATATTAATTTTGAAGTTGGTGCTGCTGATATTTTTCGACCCAGGCGACACATTTATGATCCTACATAAATTTCTGAGAGTGTGCTAGAACAGCAAGTGGCGAGGTCTGCGTTTGATTGATACTTGTTGGGGGCAGCGACGTCGGCAGCGCCGCCGAAATGTGCAGAGCAGGCGTTGAGGATGACATTGACGACGACGACGCTTTTGTTTGTTTACGCTGTCAGTGTTATCGTTCTTGTTGCGGTTGTTGTTGCTGTTGTCATAAGCAACACAATTTAATAATAGATTCATTACCCACACATACATAATATTAGCAACTCCCCTCGCGCACACGCACACTCATGTGCGTGCACCCCACTGATACTCAGCCACATATGCTCCTAGGGCATAGCCTGCCACTATGGCTAGCAAAATATCTCTGAATTTCCCATACGAGATTGAAGGGAAGCCACAGCTTTATGTGTATCATTATGCGAACAGAAAATAAGTGTCTCTATAAAGAATATAATAAATTGAATATATTTTCATCAGCAATAACAGCAAACAAACTCATCAACAGCAGCAACAACAACAACAATATCAATGAAAACATCATGTTAACAAAATGGCTGAGAATGCCGCCAGAAAATGGTGGCAATAAAACTAATAGAGATTGGCGAAGGGTCCCACAATGGGGCGACAAGTGATATGTTGTTGTTAACAAAAAGATAGGGAGACTTGTAGAAATGAATTCCAATAAGCGAGAGTAAGAAAAAACAGCTTTTCAATAGATACAGTTAAGGCGAAACTAAACGTCTATCTATAGATACACATGGGGATATGCACTGAATGTTGATAATGATACATTATATATATATATATTGATATAAAATATTCGTTGCGGTTCTGAAATTGTACAACATTTTAAACATTTATTTGGTTAAGATTTGACGGCAAAGTTCTTTACTTTGCTCTGGCTTATCCTCTACAATTTTTATATTGTACAGATGCTGTTTCCGGTTAAAAATCTGAGATGGACGGATATGGGTTTTACTGTGGTTTTGTGGGTCCTTCGATATGCGTAGCATTTTGAGATAATTGTCAGAATTCCTCGCTTTCTAGTTGCCTTCCAGCGCAAACGAAATGCCCCGAAGGGGTAAGCTGTTTTCTTTTTTTGAATCTTACTTAGTTTCTCGGCTTATTGAGGGCTGGCACTCAAATCTTGCTCATATAATATAACTATTGCAGATTTCAATCAAAATTTATTATTCGTAAGGAAATACTACATATATTTATGCGTACTTACTTATGTATAATAAGCCCCAATTTCCTTTGCGTCTAAGCCAAATGTCGCACTGCTAACTATCATGTCCTATCATATATTTCTCATATCTGAAACTATCAGCAACTGAGCGCAAACGAAACGAGGCGATGAAGCGCCGACATTTTGGAAGTTTATTTGGCAGCCGGATGAAGAGTAGATGTGAAAACCGCCAAGATGTGCCAGCATTTTAACGCCATCAGGCGGCTGCTCCGGCTGCTCTTGTTTATCTGTTGTTACTGAAGCTTATTATCTTGCACAGCCAGGCAGACCCAACACCATGAAACCCTATCTAGAGCAGAAGCCTTTTCCATAAGCAGACGCGTCTCTTGCGACTGCCCAGAAGTTTCAATAAAGTTCGCCCTTTTCTTGGCATAAAAATTTCATCTGAACTTGCTTTGATAATTTATTTATTTTTATTTTCCCATAGTTTTTGTGTGTGCTTTTTGTTTTTTTTTTTTTTTTCTGTTGTTGTATTCTTGCTTTCTTTTGGAATGGTTCTAATCAATTCCAAGTCATTAAGCACACGCATGAGAGCTGTCAGTGTGTAAGTGCGTTTGTGTAAGTGTGCGGCAATTTTGTTTGAGTTAAAGCTATGGGGCTTTAAGCGCGTTGCTGGCCATAAATCAGAGGCGTGACGGCGCACAAAGGGCAGCTGACAAAGCTCAAAAGCTGTGCGGGTAATTATGACTAATTAACGTGCCGAATAACCGCCTCCTCAACCAATAGCACCTCTCTCCTGTAGCCTTGAGTGCCCATCGATACGAGAAGCTGCGCGTTTGCGAGTTGCCTTAATAAAATCATAAAATTTGCCTCGAGCCAACATTAAAGGCTTTTGGCCAGCCATAAAAACGTCGTCGTTCGCAATCCCAATGCCATTTTGATATGCCCCACACGCGCCGCAGCTGATAAACTGAACAGCATCGGGCATTTATGGTCTCACATGGTCGCTGGGACTCGATACGTAATGTAAGTGGCGTAAATTGTGGTCAAGAGGATGCCAGCCATACGTGGCACAGAAACAATGCTACATAGCGCCAACCGAAATTTTTTCAAATATGTGTATGTGTGGCTGATCAATGTCCTACAGTTGCAAGCAATTTTACGATTTTTTATGAGCGCGTGTGTGAGCGTGCCTGCGAGTGTAAAATATGACAGTTCACGTCTGCGTATTATATAAAATGTAATTTCAGTTAACAGAAAAATTATAAACTGCGCCAGGACACTTTTGCACTTTCCACTTTTTCGCTTGTAATGCTGGTGCTTTATATTTGGACTGCTGCCTTAAACTTATTTTCAGACTTGAAGTATATGTACTACTACGTTCCTTAACATTATTTACTATCTAGGTGGCCGGAATACGCAATTCTGCACGCTCCTTTTGTTCACCGCAAATGTTCATAAATAAGTTGATTAGTTTTTTATGTGGTTAGCGCTGAGAGACATTTTGAGTGGCAGCCCAGGGGCTGGACGCCACGGCAGGATGCAGCATCAGGACAGTAATTGAAAATGGTACTTAATGCGTGATTATTATATTCTCTGAAGCCTGCAAATAACATGACATGGCGAAAAGCAACACTTCATTCTTTATTATCTATCCGCACTTATTGTCCGTGTATATATGCTGTGTGTGTGCGAATAAAAAGTGCGTGTTAAGCGGCTTTTGTACTGATCAAAATGCTTGGACGCAAATATGGCCAGCTCAGATTACTTGGCAAAACATATAAATCTCTGAAATGATTTTTAAAATACTCTGCTTGACATACAAATTTTTAAGCGTTTCGTATACAAAGCCTGAAAGCTTTAAGTGTTACAAGAAAAAACATAAATATGCTAGAGTTTTTTTGAAGATTTTTTACAGAAGAGATCTTGCTCCCAAACTTAAATCGAACAAAACCAGTGACTGAAAAGTAAGGAATGCTTGGTTTAAAACACTTTTAGGCTTTCGTTGACGATTTATTTGTACAACCCGACTGCAAACTAATCTTTTTTTTACGCATTACTCTATTCTTATTAAGGTTTTAAAAATGGTTATTGAGCTCTATATACCGGAAAACATTGCTACTGTTAGCATGTTAGCAAGCAAAGAATTGATTTGACATGGAAATATAACATAAATTAAGTTGTTCGTTTCCCAGAAAAACCATTTACCATAGTTTTGGAAGTTTGAATGACACCCAAGAGAGAGCCAGAGAGTATCTCCTTGCCGACAATTCTCTATTTAATCACATTTTTGGCAACTTTAATTATATGATACTGACATTTATGGTTTCCACTAGTGAGGCATCGTTTTAAAAAATTTTCAATCATTTAATGTGGAATTTTACCCAGCTACAAATGCTTTTCACATAATTTGTTGAGTGCGCTGAGGCGTGCAGCGGCATCAACACAGCCTCACACACATCCAGCTGCGATGCCTCACCTAGGCTATTTGTATGCTGTCATGTTTGCAGCGCATCGTACCTAACAGCTCTGGGGTTGTGCGGGGTTGCACTTGTCTGCATGTTGTGCCAAACAGCAACCCTACCACGCACTTGCACTCTCACTTTAATTTCTGTGCCAGTCAGCGCGACCCATGTGCCCCCCAAACAATGTCACTTGCCTTTGTGAACTCACGTGTTACATGCAAATGCGCTTCCTGCCCAGAACAGAAGATTTACAACTCACAACTCGACGTTGTTGCTGCTGCTGCTGCTGCTGGGTTTCTTTGTCTTTGGGTCCTAGCACATGTGGGGGAGGTTAAGGGTGAGCGCAAATAAATATTGTAATGATGTATATGATTTCTTTTATGGCAGGCTACACAAAAGAAGTTGCTGCCTATCAGTTTATTGAAATCTCTTTAGCGAAACGACAACTCGGCTCAAGTGCCGACCCACTTGAGCGCAATTTGAAAAAATATGCAACATTTTTAAGGCATACAATTTTAATGAAGTAACAACCTGGCAAAAAGTCATTAAAAACATGCAAAATACATGTGGCATGCGAAAATCAATAAACAATCAACAATGTATAAAAAAAATGTAAATTGTTGGGCTGAGCGGCAGCCTCAAGGCTGCAATTATATGAATGCAGCTCTCAATGTTGTCAAAGGAGTTGCCTAGGTTTAAAAACGTATAAATAAGAACGCTCTAGTCGGGAGTTCCTGACTAGAATTTACCCTGTGACATAGCTAGATCGACTCAGTTCGTCATCTCAATGAAAAATGTAAATACTTTATAGGGTCGAAGATACTTTCTTTTGATTATTGCATACAATTGCTCGAAATCAGTATACCCCTCTTATACAATTTTAATGGGTTCATGTGAAATGCGTTGACGATTGCATTTTTGAAGTGCACAACCACATGAAGGGCCCATGGTGGTTGTGGTATTCGCGTGCAATTTTAAAGAGTCTGCGATATGCGCGAACAATCTCGTATACGCTTACAGGGACACACATACACACATACCTGGCGTTGACGTGCGAAGAAGCATGTATACCAATTAAATGCAACGGACAACGCCCAAAAAAGTATGCTACAAAAAATGGTAACTGCTGTCAATGACAGCGCAAATAAATGCAACAAAGCGACCGAAAAGCACGCAAAAATGAAAATCGATAGTGCTGCGTATGCGACACACACACACTTACACAGACACACGCATATATACATGTATGCATATTACACATGTACTATGTATACAGAGTTGTACATAGTGTTCCATATAGGCGTTCTGGTCAGCTGCTGCTCGCCATGCAGTGTGGGCATTTGTCATAACAGCAGCAATAATCAGAACGACAAGCCTACAACAGCAACAACAACAGCAACGGCAACGCTAGTAAAAGAGGTGCAGCAACAACAACAACAATAACAACAAAAACAACAGCACGGCATAAGCACGGGAAACGGAAACGGACTGTGCAGGCCCATCCATGTTGACGTCAGTCACACAGCGTGCAAATGTTGACCTACATACAAAACGCCGAGCAAACAGGCGCATAAATGCTACGCCAAACGACAACAGCAACAAACACAACAACAGCAATAAAAACAACAGCACTAATACTAACAGCAACAGCAACAGCTACGCAGAGTGTAGATAAGTCCTCTTTTTGTCCAGATGCCAACGCATTGTTAGAAATATGACGGACATAGTCATAGCTATACCTATAGCTATCGTCCCTGCCGTTATTGTTTTTAATACTAACCAGCATCATAATAGTTATGTAGATTTATAGAATTGGGTTGGCAGTTTTCAAGCTTCAGGCTGCAGACAGCAGCCTTGGTGTCCACTAGCCAGCGGTAGATGTGCCATTAAAGCAGGGCAGGGAAAAAACGTTTTTAAATATAGATTTTATAAAGGTATATCGTTAATAATTATCTTTTCATATTGCATATTAATATTGAGTAGTATTCTTAAAATGCTAAATAATTAAGTTCATGAATTAATATTCAATTCCCGACTAATCGTTTCCAAATCCATTTGCTTGTTTAATTGAAGAAAATAATTTCTCCTCGTATACATTTACTATCACATATTTATATATATTTCAACAGAGAGTGTAATCAAGATCCCTATGAAATTGATATAATGCTTGTGTATCTGTACATTTCAATCATAAATTATTTAATTTTACTTCATACAAAGTCTAGCATAATACAATATTATTATGTGGCTTTGCGATTACTTTACATTTACTACGTTGTACCTCCAAATAACTTCCATTACGTAGGGTCCTGGACTCTGTGACATGTGAATGCGAACATTTGTTTGGTAACGGCCAATGGGATGAAATGTTGGAATTATTTTCGGATCAGCCATATTCTTAAGGAAGTAAACCTTTGGCTGGATGGGGCAGCCATTGATGGTATTATTCACAATAATTGCGTTAAAGACCTGAGCAAACACTTTATTCATTATTGGATTACTGATAAACTGACAGCCGTCTAAGTTTTTAAGCCTGTACATAATTCGATGAGACGCCACAGCACGCAAAACTATGCTAATAGAAAAAGAAGGCGCCGGCTTTACCACCCGAAAAGTGTAGAGGGTTTCTACGTCGGGCGATTTGTGGAAGTACTCTACAATATCGTGATCACAGTTGGTTTGCAGTGATTCGAACAACACCTTCACTTTGCCACGCCCGAAGCTCTATTAAAAAATGTTACATATGGGTAAGCAGATATTTGGCTATGGTACTAAGTAGGCAAAACAGAAGCGAGAATCCTTTTTTAAATGCTTACGTACCTCATCTTTGGATTCAACTAAAAGTATAGGTAAGGTGCTGAGTAGGTATAGCCAAATCAGGAACATTCTTATAAATGCTTACTACCAACTGTCGATTGTTGGATGGGAATGAATATAATTTCTTATGATTATTTTGAGTACACTACATTTGTATCCGAAAATGGATCGAAATAAATTATATTATAAAGTCATTTAGATATAATTTCTATGTGTTGTTAATCGCTTTTTTGCAATGGCTCATTAACCACGAATAAATTGGCAAAGAAGAAAACATATAAAACTCGCATATTCATATTGAGTAACCAAGTATTCTTAAAACGCCAATTAATTTTCAAATAAATCCTTTTTTCAATATTATTTTATTATATAACATTTTCCAAATTATTACTTAAAAAATACTATTTTATACTTCCAGAGAATCTCCATAACAAAAGGTGCTGAACTTTGTGACATCTGAACTCGCATGCTAAGTTGATAATAGCCAGCGGGATGAATGCTCGGCACTATCATGGCTTCTGTCAAATTTTTTAGAAAGTAAACCTTTGGCTCGATCGGGCACTTGAAGAAGGTGTTGTTTACAAGTAAAGCGCGGTAAGTCCGAGAAAGCACTTTGTTCATTAGCTGGTTTTTCAAAAACTCACAGCCATCCAAGTTTTTGATCTTGTACATTATTCTCTGGGACTTCACATTGCGCATGATAATGGTGATTGTGAATGATGGAGCTGTTTTAACAACTCGAAAAGTATATAGTATATCTTGATTGGGCACTTGTCGGAAATATTCCACAAAATCATGATCACAGGAAGTCTGCACAGATACCAAAATTAATTTCCGCTTGCCTTGCACAGCTACCTATTCAATAATGATAGGTTAAAGAACAACGAAACTCTGCACTTAAGGCGTCCTTACTCTTTCCTTCGACTCAACTGCGAGTGCCAGTAACATCCACAAAAAATAAGCCAAAAGTGGACACATGCTAAACTGTAAACTGCTTTTCTTTAAGTAGCTGACAATACTACAGTACAAT